AGGACAATGAGCATAGACAAGGCTGACAAGGCATGGACGTGGTTTTAAACATGTATGGGCGTGGCACTAGACATGTAGACACGTCAGGCGTGCGCGGGAGAGAGCTGAGGGGTGTGTTGGCACTAAGGGTGTGTGCGTGTTGGCGCAGGGTACTCAGGCTTGCACCTGGGCGATATGGGGTGCAGGCGAGGCAAGTATTGGCGAGCACAGGGGCATGGGTGTTGGATGGCGCACGCGGTTGAGGCAATTGGCGGCGCGAGCGTTGGAGCGCACGAGTAAGGGACATGCGTCGGGATGGAAGGGCATATGCACGGGTGAGTGAAGCGTTGGCGTGCATATGTAAGCAGTTGGGTGAAGGCGTGCACGCAAAGGGCGTTGCATGCATGTTGTGGGTATTGAGTGTGTCATGGTACTATCCTCTTGGCGTGACCTTGTTCCAAGTTCTTAATACCAAATATGATCATATCAATTTACGACGATCTATAAATAAAGAGGAAAGTCTCATAATTGAGTAATTGAGGTACGCTACCAAACCTTAATTCTCACCACCCTTAACACAAATCTGAATGTGACTTAAATATAGAGCATGTTGGGGCTAGCACACCAGACAGAGTGTATATTCTCTCTCCATTTTTGAAGGTTTTGTCAGCCTCATCAGATTAAGAAGAATCATGTGAATTTGACTATTCTATTGGGCCAAATTTACACATTATTGTATACGTGATTTCAACGGGAGAAAAGTTTGATTCGTGTAGATGTTAGAAATCTATTGTGAATAGTGGGGATAGAAGAAAAATAGGATAATTAAAAAAAATTATTGTCAAATTTAATAGGTTTTTTTTTTTTTGCGAAAAAAAAAAGAAAGAGAAAACTTAGGAGTTAGGTTGCTAATGCTAATGCTATGGTGAGCCAAAGACAGATAATTGTAAGCAGCGTTAGAATACTTCAATCAAGGGTCTTGCATAAGAAACAATTAATGTCTTCATTTTTATATAAGAAAAAGAAAAAAGCTATTTTGAAAATTTGAAAATATTTTCTATTCATGTCTTCATTCACATATTACACAATTATTCAGAATTTAAGGCTCAAATATCATACAAATGAATAATTATTTTCAGTTGTCTTAAAATAAATAATTGAATTATATTTCAACTCTAACAATTATATGTAAAGTGGAAGATGATCTCAATTAAAATCAAGAATAGTGGTTCATCATTCAAAAAAGAAAAAAAAAGTACATAATAATAATTATTCAATAGCTGTATATGGAAGGAGGGACACTAATGGAGTACAAAAAGTTCCTTTGTGGTAGAAATGAAGGTTAGGGTAGTATGAATTCAATATAATCAAAGCTATGAAAATATTTGACTTTAGAATGTAATTTGAATTATTTGAACTTGATATAGAGTTAGAATAGCTATATCAAAAAGAAAAAATGTATATATATATATATATATTTATTGTAATTCAATCTGTACATCACCAAAATCAGAGTTTTTTTAGTACAACATGTGGGGTGGGAGATCGAACTCATAACCTTTTGGTTGGAGATATGTATAAATTACCGCTAGCTATGCTCGCTTTAGCCCTCTAAGTTTGAGTTATTCTTTAAAATTTGGAATATCCCCTAATGTATGAACTTGAATATTAATTTAATTTATAAGGTTTAATATATAGATTCGTTAAATTGATTCAAAATCTAGTATAAACCACAAGCCATCAATTTCGAAAAATAAGAAAAGTGATCAAAACTAATACCCGCTCCGAATAAAATTTCAAGTCAAACTAATTTTTTGAATATTCCATGTTTTCCTATCCTTCGTACCCTCGAGATCATGTTTTCATTTTCTTAAATATGCACAGCATCTATCCTCACCATCCACATAGCATGCAACAAACGGCTCAGATGCGATGGAAGCTCAACCACTCGAGGGTGCCGCCCTTGTCAAAGTAATGTTTCACCTGTTGTCAGGATAGTCGAATCTCAACTCGACTCAATATGTAGTAGGTCGTCCAAAGTTAACTCCGTGATCCTTCATACTGCTCTTTGCTAGTTCAGATACTCGACTTATCAAAGAGGAGGCCAATGTTAGAAGATAAAAATTGACAAGATACATGAACCAATCATGTCAACTCGGTAAGTTTGATAGGAATATCTGCACGTCTTAAAAGTCAAGGCCGACTTACCAAGGAGGATCAACCTAAAGAAGTCCATACGACCGACCAATTCTTCTCAAGTAAACATGACCGAGCTAGGGTGAAACTGACCTCAAACCCGATAGTCTGTTATTGCCCAACCTCCTGACGGAATGACTATAATAGACTTGTCCCTCCACTTCGCCTATAAAAGGAACCCCACTCCTACGATTCAGGTACGCAATTATGTTTAACGCTGACCTACTAAACTCGAACTCAAACCGACTTGAGCTTTAGAGTGTCTACTTTTTTTCTGTAAGTCTCTCTTAGAGTATCTCACTCCTTCGTAGTAACTTGTCCGATCGAGTTTATAAGAAGCCGACCATCATTAACTCAGCATAATTCAACATAAAGAATCCATGTCTTTTGTTGCTCAATTGCCTAACCCTATTCCTTATTTAGGTTGAATTGACTATTCAAACCTTTTCGTGTTCAAGTAATTATTGGCATCAAAACCACATTGAATTTCTTTTCTCTTT